GCGGGGCTCGAACTCACGGACCGTGAGATCGTGACCTGGCTGAAGTCGGACGCTTACCCGACTGCGCCACCCAGGCGCCCCAGCCCTGTTATTTTTTAAAGCCATATGTCTTGGGGGCACATTTCTCTGGTGCAGGTTCCAAAGGTTGTGATGTCTGATGTGGGACACAGGTATTTTGCCAGTCAGAGAGATGCTCCATATTTGTGAGATCTCTGCTGGTTGTGGGTCATTGCACCAGCGAAACTGTGTCTCTGCCTCTCCTACCTGTGTCAGTGTGGTGCTTTTGTCCTTTTTGTAGAGGAGATGTTCAGCTAGTTTTCAGGTCCCTTTCAGAGGGAATTCATCCACATGTGGCTGTAGATTTGGTGTGTCAGTAAGAGAAGGTGAATTTAGGATGTTGCTACACAGCTATCTGAATCCAATCCCCTTAACAATGTCCATAAATACTTTTAATAAATAGAACAAATTTTTCAAAGGCACTTCTGTTCCATTAAAATAGTTTAAGGACACTCAGGGATGAAGAATGAGGAGGAAGAGAGTGAGACATAGCCTGCCCCTAGGGAAAGAATAGAGAGCTTCAAACTGTGGCAGAGAAGGAGAGAAGACCACCAAGGAAGAAGAAAGTACTATCCCAGATGCATAAAGGAGGAAGAATGGAAACGAGTATGTAGGGAATAGCTGCCTAGAACCAGGAAGGAAGAAGGTAGTGTAGTTTTGAATGTCAGTTCTGGGTGTTGGAAGATTATGGTTCTCTTTTGAAATAATTATTGAAGAACCACAATATTCGAGTGCTCTTTCTCTTTAAATCACAAGAAGCCATCCCTCACTCTTCTGTGTACCATGTCTGTGTTAACTAGGGTGTATCATACTGAGGATCTAGTTGGGGTATTCTTTTTTACCAAACAATTCAAAACTGGGAGTCTAGGAGAAAAGCAGTATGGTTAGTCATTAAACCAGAGTTTATTTCAGCCAACGGACCTGAATGTAATTATCACAGTTTTAAATATTTTGTTGAATATGCATAGTTTAACCTCTCTTAAATCTTGTTTTCCTCTTTTGTGAGATGGCAATGACACCACCTACTCTTCCCTCTTTTAGTTGGAAGACCAGATGGGATGTAATATGTGGTCAAGTGCTTTGTGAAGTTCAATGCAAGGGCTCACTTGAAGGTAGTAAGGTTTTTGTTACACAACTTCCTGGTTGTGGTAGTTGTGATGGAGTATATGCAACGGAATGCGCAGAGGGGTTTGTTTAATGGAGTAGCACTGGCAAATACAACACTGGGGAGAGACCAATCTGACAGATGGATCTCTAACCTTCTTACAGATAGCTGTAAGTTGGCAAAATTTAACAGGAAAATTCAAATGTACTAACCGGTATTTTTTGAATACCTTTCATAATCACAGTTGAAGTCATAGTTTTTACCAACCTCATTTTATATCTTTTTTTCCCCCTTCCAGATGAACGGGACAAAGTTCAAAAGAAAACGTTTACAAAATGGATAAATCAGCATCTCATGAAGGTCAGTTTATTATTTTCACATCTTGGAATTGTTTTGCTTACTTTAATTTATTGTGCAGTAATGTATAACTCTGAAGCATTGCTTTTCTTTTTTTAAAAAATTTTTTTTAATGTTTATTTTTCTTTGAGAGAGAGAGTGACACAGTGCAAGTGGGGGAGGGGCAGAGAGAGAAGGAGACACAGAATCTGAAGCAGGCTCCAGCCTCTGAGCTGTCAGCACAGAGCCCGATGCAGGGCTCAAACTCACAAACTGTGAGATCATGACTTGAGGCGAACTTAGATGCTTAACTGACTGAGCCACCCAGGCACCCCTAGCTTTTCTTTTTTTTAATTTTTTAAAATGTTTATTTATTTTTGAGAGGGAGAGAGAGACAGACAGACAGAGTGCGGGCAGGGGAGGAGCAGAGATAGAGGGAGACACAGAATCCGAAGCAGACTCCAGCCTCTGAGCTATAAGCACAGAGGTTCGAACTCACGAATACAAGATCATGAGCTGAGCCAAAGTTGGAGGCTTAACCACCTGAGCCACACAGGTGCCCCTGAAGCATAGCATTTCAATACCAACTTGAAAGTTTAAATTCCAGAGCATTTCACATGCATTTTAGGCATCTGTGATTATCTGGTGTGTGGCCTGTAGGTAATGATGAAGGTGAGAAAATAAGTACCCAGTGATTATAGTGCATTCTGTGATGTTAGGAAACCTATTATTATGGGACTTAAAAAAAATCTCAGCAGTTTAAGAAGTATGTAAATATTTATGTGTTAGGGCATGGAAAAACTGTAATTCTCCAGTAAGATTTTTTTCTCTCTCAAGATTCAGACCAGGTTCTGGCCTCAGATTTATGTGGATGGCAGACAGTTACTTATATGAGAATAAAGATGGATTGTAGAGACTGAAGTCTAGACTTATTTTTCTTCTTGTACTTAGTATGACATTGATATTGGCTTAATGTCTGTGTTTCTCTGTGTAGTAAATAGTTGTGGTTCTCAAATTAATATTTATTTGTGTGCTATGGGACACTTTGAGGATCTGATATAGGCTCTCTAGAAAAATACACATGCACACAAAATTTGCATACAGTTTCATGGAGTTATTGGATCCCACCCTATATATCTCAGCTAAAGCACCTGTGTAACTTCGCAATGAACTATAAGTCACTTTTTCCCCCTCTTACAGACAGTCCTAAATTTGGAAACAGGTAATGTTTTAAGTGTGAGACTTAGAAAGAGTTCTCTCACAAAAAACAAACAAACAAAAAAAAAAACAACACATTATTTTGAATGTGGTTACATTCTTAAAGCTACTCTACTAATCGTATTTAAAGCATCATGTAGCAAAGTAGTACCAATAATGTACTAGCATCTAATAGCCTTCTATAAAAGTGATTCTTATTTCAAGGGACATATCAAAATTACCTGAGGGATGTTGTAGTCCCCTCTGTCTCACTACCCATTGACAAAATTCTTGCCCCAAATTCTGATATGTCCTTCAGGGAGGCCATGTCACCCACTCTCCAATTGAGAATTTCTATAAAAAAAAAAGAGAGAGAGAATAAGTTCTGTTGTTGATGGGAGCTGAATCCTTTGATGTGTTGGCAAGAGATAAGAGGTTGAGACATTCTGCTTTATGATGTTTTGTTAGGAAATACATTGTGAATACTAACAAAAGATACCAGCCGTGTACCTACCCTCTTTCAAGCTTTTGTCTAATCACACACAAAGTGTGAGTGGGACTCTTCCACAGGCTGGGGCATAGGTGGGCTGATTATGAGGTTAAGGGTATGGAACTTTGGAGCTGAAGACTGACAAGATTTCCCCATTTCTGAGGTGAATCCAAGGGAAGCAAAGTTTTTGATGAAGAGGTTCCCTTTTGGTGGCTGATGCCCTAGCAACCTTTGTAGCTGTGGCTGTGTAGGGGTGGGCATGTCAGTGGGCACAGAGGGTTGTCCTACATCTTCTGGAGCATAGCTGCTATACTTCCAGGTTGGTAATCACGTTACAACTGCTGGCAGTGGATGCCAAAGAGAAGTAGAAGTAGAAACACAGGCCCTATAGGAACCATAGCACGGGCCCTGGATAGGTATTTATTGAGAGTCTACTGTGTGCCAGGTGTGTTGGATCGGGCCATTCATTTTATAAGTAGTTCATAAATTGAATGGTTGAGTAAAAGGAGACTTCCATTGCTAAAAATGTCAAAATACCATTCGAGCTGCTAGAGGACAAAGGCTATATTATTTACTCCTAGGACCCATCGCAGTGTTTGGCAAGAGTATTCTCACTGTGTGTAATATATGTTGTATACATTAAATCATTTAATTCTTCTAGCAGCTGCCCAAGGTGGTTTAATTTAGTGGTTATACACACATAGCCTTCAGAATCAGACAGCAAAGGTTCAAAGCCTGATTTACCTGGAATATGTGACCTGGTTTTGTTTTGTTTTGTTTTTTTAAATAAAATGACAGATCTCAAGATTTAAAGTTTACTTTTGCTGCAACACAGTAAGAATGGGGAAAATATGTTATTTTTATGTGCAATAGCTATTAGATAGATGCCAATCCAACTGATGAGGGTTTCAGTCAGATTAGTTTATTTGTTTTTGTTCTTGTTTTTGTTTTTTGGAGTATGTTATAGGATCAGAATTTAAAATTAACTCTTATTAAATGAGAATTCATTTTAGGGAGTGGGGGAAAGTCAGACTACATAGTCTTGGCTAACTACCACTGTCAGTTACTTACATTCTTGTTCTGATTTGGTCTAGTATCAGCTCAAAGTAGTCTGCCCTTATAATCTTAAGAATTGTGCACTGAGATTTCTGGCACAAAACTCAAATATGTGAGAACATAGTTTTTAATCTTTAATTCTTTTATGTCTGAAGTTATAGCTTTAACCTCAAGTGAAGAAAAATAATCCAATATCCTAAAACTTTTAGAGGCACCAGGCTGTTAAGGTTTGTTTTGTTGTTAGATAACCAGAGAAAGGGCAGCCTTCATGAGAACTTTTCCATGTTTCATTCAAGCAGTGGTTGAGGAATGTTGCACTATGTTGTCAGCCTCTTTTGTCTCACTAAAAAAAAAAGAAAAAAGAAAAAAGATGCTGGATGCTTTTGCTCTAGGTAGCCATTTGGTTGTAATCCAATTAGTGGGAAATATAAAATAAGTATAAGTTTTAACTAAAAATTTTCATATTTGAAAGTAGTATTTTTTCTGTATTGATTTTTTTATATTCTTCACTTGAAATATTGAACATCTTCAAGGGAGAAACAGAGAAAGGAGAGTAGCAGGTCCCATATATTTTTTGCCTTACCATATTCCTTTTCAGTGAATGAGAAGTATGTTATTTATAGAGTTTGCAATAAAATGGGATCATGGGAAAGGAGGACCACGACAAAGTGGTCAATAAAGTAAAAATGGGTAAGGAGAGAAAAACTGGGAATGAAATCATCTAGATAATTGAATAATTCTACATGCCTTCTTTATGTTTTGTCACTTTTAACTGTAGTCACAAGTAGTCATTAAACCATGCGGAAGGGAGGAAAATTACAGGAAAGGGGGAATTATAGGAAAAAAAGAGAGAAGGAGAGGCGAGGGAGGTGGTTAAAGGGGGAAGAGAGGGCAGGAATGGCTGTCTTGTGCACTAGGAGTGCTCTCTCACAGCCCCAGAGTTGTGCCTCGGGATGGCTCTGTGGGGCCCAGGGTCTGGAGACCCTGCCCTTGGCTCAGCTGCCTGGGAGTGCTAATTCCAGCTAGGAATTATTCTCCATCTTCTGAAATAATTCTTACAAAGTTTGCCTTTTCTAAGTTATTGTTTTATTTATTTTAATTTATTTTATTTTACCCTGTTCTCTCCACCACACTTTTGCCTCCAGGGAGAACTGTCCTTGGGAGTTCTGCTTGTTTTGGCAGTGAGGTGATTGAGAGGTTTAGTCCCAGAACAGACTTTCCTTTACTGAGTTTTTCTTCTCAGGTGATAACTTATATATTCTGGTAACTTAGAGCAAATTGTCTTTGAAAGAAGAATGTCTCGGGGCGCCTGGGTGGCGCAGTCGGTTAAGCGTCCGACTTCAGCCAGGTCACGATCTCGCGGTCTGTGAGTTCGAGCCCCGCGTCAGGCTCTGGGCTGATGGCTCAGAGCCTGGAGCCTGTTTCCGATTCTGTGTCTCCCTCTCTCTCTGCCCCTCCCCCGTTCATGCTCTGTCTCTCTCTGTCCCAAAAATAAATAAACGTTGAAAAAAAAAAAAAAAAAAAAAAAAAAGAAGAATGTCTCCTTCAAAGTTGCTAGTCTGTGACATGTAAGCCAAAGATGGGAGGCAAGAGAGGTTAGACAGACAGGGGGTTGTGTCCAGGCTTTGCAGTTTATTATTTGTGTGACCTTAACCTTCTTAGGTTCTCATCTGTAAAATGGTGGCAGTGATAGATTAATGTGAGGAGTTAAAGGACATAATCCATTTAAGCATAAAGCATGATAACTGGCACATTGTATAAGTTGCCTCTGGAACCCTTCTGCCTCCCTCATCCAAGTCCCTTTCCTTGCCTCAAGTACTTTCCCTTTTAGTTTATTCATTGTAGAAAAAGCTGGGGTTTAGGTTCAGAACCTGTTGAGGAGATAGATTGACCTATTGCCTTCTTGCCTTAGAGTCTTGCTGGGACACTGAAGAATTACTTATTTGAGGTATCCTGTTAGCTGTACCTTCCTCTCCTCCCTATACCCTGTGCCCCAGTCATTTATGGGTTGATCTTGGGGCTCACAGTTCTTTTTTATTCCTCTCTTTCCTCTTCTCCCACACACTCTCCTCACAGAAAGGGAATCAGTGAAGACCCACCATACTTCTGAAAGGTTGGCCATTTTTATTCCTCAGTTGTGATTTCACTTAGATTCACAACTGGAGGGCATCTTCCACATCCTCCAGTTTTCTTCCTTCGTTTACAGAAGGGAAAGCTTGCCACATCAACTTTTACTGGGAGAGCTGCACCAGAAGTCCTGGAATGAGAATACAAATTAGAA